TTTTTTTTTTTTTTTTTTTTTTTTTTTTTTTTTTAATCTTAAATATTTTGTGGATTGGGACTCTTGCAGAACTGTAGGTACCAATCACAAATTTTAGACCAAGAAACTCAAGTGATCAAAAATGCCAGCTGGCTTGACCAAGCCCCAGTGGCCATGTGCAACTTAACTGTATTACCTCTGTATTCTTTTTTGCCAACTTGTTGGCTTATTGTAACGTTAAAATGGTGTCAAAGCCTACCTGTGGTTTAGGCAGGCAGTTGAGTTTTGAGTAGATGAGACATAGATAGGTCAAGGTGAGAATGGATGCTAAAGCTATAGACTTTCACTCGAGGCCTTTGTCAGACTTAAAGAAAAAAAAAAAAAAAAGAAAAAAAACCACAGTTCAGTTGCTCTCCTTTGTTGTATTTATCTGAAACTATAAAAGGGTGACAAACTCCGCGGGAATCTGTTGCAGTGCTTCCAGCTTTAGGTTTCAATCTTCAGGTTCAGACTGTATTTTTGTAGCGCAAGGACCACGTGTTTTTTCCAAAAGTGGGACGAATTGTAGCATTGAGCCTAACCTAAATGCATGTGTGGTGTTGGATTTCTTTTAATTGAACTATTGTATTTTCAAAATACGGACTTGACAAACAATACTGAACAACCATGGCTTAACTATAGAAAGTAATTAGCTGAAAAAGTCAGCTCCTATCCAAAGGGGTTGGGAGTCGTTGAAACACACGTGCATGCCTCTAACTATTCAGTAGCTTAATAGGCAAACACAAAGCTTTACAGAACATGAGGTCTCTTACATGAGAGGATAACTAGCTAGCTTACTCTTGATTATAGCACTCAACTTGAAGTCAGACACTTAAAGACTCTTCATAGGTGGGAAACTTCGTAGCCCATGGCTCAATCTCTCCTCACAGTGGGTGAAACATTTCATGGACTTGCCTTAAGTTTCAGCAGCTATCGGCTGATGTAGGACAACTTGTGAACACCCAGTGTGCTGTGTCAGGCGACCTGCACAATTCAAGCTGTTGGCAATGAGAGTCAGACTTAACGCTGCTGCTTACTGCTTAAAGTGTTTCCAACTTGTACTCTCTAATCCCAAAAGGGCTCACAGCAGCTATCCTGAACTGCCCTTGTACATGCTGTGGTGGGGCTTAGCAAATTTTGGAAGTCTAATGTAGTGGGCAAAAGCATGTTCTTTATAGACTTCTCATGGTGGAGAGCAGTACAGTGAAGGTAAAGACAGCAATAAATATACTCTGGTAATAAAGCACAGTTACCTGGGACACATGGCAGAAGTGGGATACTGCTGCATGCTCTTACCTAGTACAGTGCACGTTGCAGGTGAGCTCTGAACAGCTCCTTGACTGAAATGATGGAGCTTTTCTAAAAGCTGTAGATCCAAGCTACTGAAATGCTTCAGAAAGGTTTTTAAGGGCATGCTAACAGCAGAAGCAGCTCTGCACTGTGTCCTTTCCTGCCTCTCCATACCAGTACCTAAGGGACAGGCTTTGTCGGGGTTGAAGGTGACTGAAACCACTGATCATAGTCTTAACAGCAAGCTGATCTGTGTGATCAGCAGCCCAATGGGGAGTCATCACTGTGAAAGCTTTCTAAAATGCTTGAAATCTACAAGACTTGGATTTGTTGTTCTGGTAGGGTTTCAGTCTGCTTTCTGGTGCCTGTCAGTCCCCCCCAAACCCTTGTTGTAAGACAGGTGTTCGATGCCACTGGCCCAACAGTCCAAGTATTTACTAAGACTGTAAGTTCTCGAGGACAGGGGATGTTTCCATCCTGTTTTTACAAGTGGGATCCTGGCCTGACTGAAGTTTTCAGGTACTAAGGCAATCTAAAGATCAAGATTTTATGACCTCCAGCTTGCTGGAAGAACCCTCCTTGGGGCTTAAGGATGTCCTATTGCAACCTTCAGTTCTGCAAGACCTAAATGATTCAGTACTTCAGAATAGGTTTGTTCTTATATACATAGTTGTCTTTTGTGAAGCACTTCGAACACAGTGGAAGTGCATAGCATTGCCTCGTCGTGCATGAAGTTTCCCATAGGTAATAATACATAAGCATGAGTCTTAAGCATAATCTCCAAGTTTTAGTAAAGGTGAAAGTTGCTTCTAAATTAGAACAAGTCTTTGAGACACTTTTTCCAAGGTAAGATGTTTCAGTATACTGTCAGAATAATTTGCAACAACTTTGTTATCAGTAGTCCATATAGATTCATATTTTTAAGATCTCTAAGCAAATGCTTAGGAAAACTCCTATTTTGTAGCGTTAGTTTAAAACAAACATCACCCGACTACTTGTTTTGTAGTATTGTCTTTAACACTCAAAGAAATTGTATCAAAATTAGAAAGCTAAGCTTCTGGATAGCTCATACAATTGCTTAAAATAAAGGCTGTGATGACTAGGAGGTAAAGACAAGTATTTCCACTCCAAACAATGCATTTTTTTATGGCTCCAATTCATTGAGTTTCTCATACTACTTTACAGAATTGGAAAGACTGCAGTATTTCCTGCCTCCAATGTTGGCATGTAATACTTCAAGATTTCAACAGATCCTTCAACTTGTTGCTTCTAATGGTGGTTTTTCAACTAGGCTCCTGCTAGTTGAGCCATGTTCTCAGGGCTGTTTTGTTTTGTTTTGTTTTTAAGAAGTTAGCTGAATTTCACTGTTTTAATGTAACTGCTTTCAAGCCTCTCGCAGGTTTTTCTAACCCATGATGTACCCACAAACTGGGCACAGTCTGTAGCTTCACAATACAGGTAATTTTACCGGATCTGTAAAGAAGTCAAACTTGTTGACAGTTGTAACTCTTATGGTTACTGCAGGTAACTCTTACAGAATTCAGAATTAAATAAATCCCACTTTTTTTTTTTTTTTTTTTTTTTTGCTTGAGTGATTAGAATGTAGTTTGTTACTGTAGAATTAAACGTCAGGATCAGACGACCTTAAGGCTATGTTGCATATCTCACACGCAAGTTACGGAAGGCACAGGTGAGCTCTGGTGCCTGTGGGAGTAACTTCTGCAAGCAGAGAGCTGCTGTGTTGGTCTGAATGTTGGCTCTGTGTCACTGGAAGCCCCGTTCCCTGTCTAGGGAGGAGAGGCCCCCCAGCACGGCAGTGCCATTCCCTCAGCTGTGCCCCAGGCAGCTGCAGGCAGGGGGCTGTCTGTATGCTTGAGAAGGTGCATTGCTGTTTCACATCACACCCACGATGAGCTGAAAGCGGTCGTTGTGTGCTTTGCTCCAGAAGTTATCAAGGTCTCAGTGCGGGGGGCAGCGGGGCGATGCTCGGGGTGACGGGGCTGCCGGGGCGCTGTGACGCTGTGGTGCCGTGGTCCTGTGGGGGGGTTTGGGCCTCCTGTCGCTTTGCAGTCAGCGCTCGCTCTGTGCCTGCGGGCCAACCCCGTGCTTTTTACGAGGAACACTTCAGCGCTAGAGCCGCTCGGCCTAGAATTGTACGAGGAAGAGAATTGCTTTCGTTCCTAATGACAATTAATTAGAGCAAATAAAGAGGTGACTCGCTCCGCTGCCGCCTATGACTCGTCCTTGGGGGAGGGCGGGAGGGACGACGCCTCAGGGAGCCGAGGCCCTGCCCGCCATTCCGGCACCTTCTGGCCGCGCAGGCGCGCCGCTCTGCCACGCGCGTGCGCCATGACGTCACACGTGCGCATGCGTCATGACGTCCGACCGGCTATAAGAGCGCGGCGTGTGCTCGGCCTCTTCCTTTCTGCGGGCGCGTCGCTGCGGCAGCATGGGGCCGGTGAGTGCGGGCGGGGCGGCCGATGTCCGGGCAACCGGGGCGGGTGGGGAGCGGCCCTATGCCAGGGAGGAGCCGGCTGCAGTGGGGCCGCCGTCCGGATGACAGTGCGACTCCCCCTGCCGTCTTGTGGCGCCGAGGGGCGGGGGGTGGCCGGGCGAACAGCCCCCTTGTGGTGCGGAGCTAACGCTGGTGTCGTTGCCGTGTCGCTTTTAGCAAAAAGATAGGAAGTCTAAGAAGGCGACGTGGAAGTTTTGCCTCGACCTGACTCATCCTGTTGAAGATGGAATCTTTGATTCCGGGAACTTTGTAAGTGGTGGCCGTGTGCGTGCTGGCAGCGCTCGGTGCGGTACGGCAGCCTGCCTGCCTTTGATAAACCACAATGTGAACAACAGCAGCTGCTTTTTAATTCGACAGCAGTTCCTGAACGTTTCCTGGGCTTAAATATCTTGTATAAATGATAAGACGGGTGCCCTGTCCCTACCTACCCCAGGCTGGTAGTGCATCCTGGAGCTGTGGGTGTTCCTGCTCACTGCAAGGCGCTGGACCAGGTGGCCTTTAAAGGCCCTTCCCAGCTCAAACGCTTCTGTGATTGTGTCACTTTAATTAATTGCACGCTGGGAAGTCTTACAGCATTGCAGATGCTTAGTGGTGGCAATGAGTGGTATTTAATGTTGCTCCATGACTAGGGTCCCTTCCCTAGTTCATACCTAGGGTGCCCTTC